TCAGATGACCCCAGCTAGATGCATATCCAACCTCCTCTTGAAGACCCCCAGGGTAGGGGAGAGCACCACCTCCCTTAGGAGCCTGTTCCAGACCTTGGCTACTCTAACTGTGAAGAAGTTCTTCCTAATGTCTAGTCTAAATCTGCTCTCTGCTAGCCTGTGGCCAATATTTCTTGTAACCCCTGGGGGCGCCTTGGTGAATAAAACCTCTCCAATTCCCTTCTGTGCCCCCGTGATGAATTTATAGGCAGCCACAAGGTCGCCTCTCAACCTTCTCTTGCGGAGGCTGAAAAGGTCCAGGTTCTCTAGGCTCTCCTCGTAGGGCTTGGTCTGCAAGCCCCTAACCATACGAATGGCCCTTCTCTGGACCCTCTCCAGGTTATCCACATCCCTCTTGAAGTGCGGTGCCCAAAATTGCACACAGTACTCCAACTGCGGTCTGACCAGCGCCCGATAGAGGGGAAGTATCACCTCTTTGTGTGGGGGCCATCGCCCCTGTGGGAGGGCAGCAAAATATGTGTTTAGGGTTCACATTATTATGATAAGAGACATGCTTTAACCCTGTAGATATATCAATAAAACTTTGTCCAACTGATCTCTCTCTCTCTCTCTCATGGTCTTTTGTTTTACTTGTGGAGTAACATGGATTTTGGGGTATTTTAGAGGGTGACTTTCGGATTTTTTTTATCGAGGATTTTTTCAGTTTTCCAATAGGGAACACCAGAATTCCTGCTAGGACCCTGCCTGCTCAGAGCTGGCACCTTGGACCCAGTTGGCTGTGGCTGACCTCCTGGCCAGCTGGGGCCAGGAGGACATGCTTTGACGGTTCAAAGCAGGCCACCACACCCAGAGCATCTTTCAGGTGGTAGCTGTCCAGATGGCCAGGCAGGGGGCACACATGGCAGTAGTGCTGCACAGAGGTCAACCCTGCAGCTACAGCCCACTGGCAGCCGGGTCCGCGGGGCAGATGCACGACCTGGGTGTGGCAGTGCAGCAGGTCACAACCAGGCAGCAGCCCCCACTGCCAGACTGCTGTAGTGGGTAAAGGGTGCAAGGAACTCTCAGGGCTGCTTCAGCAGTCCAGCTGGTGCAAGGGGCTAGTGTCCCCAGATGCCAATTGGCTGGGCCCCGGAAGCTCCTGAGAGCTATTAGCCCTGAGCTACTTGCCAGGGCAGCTTTTTGTACTGCTGGGGACAGCACAGGTGCTGGCCCTGGGCTCTAGCTCCCCCTGGCTGCAGATTTGGGAGGAGCCAGGCAGGGTTATTTTGCCCCAAGTGGCACAGTTTGCTCTACAACAAAGTGCATGTCCAAACACACATGCTGAGGCAAAAAGCCCCGGCTCAAATTTGTACCACTTCTATTTGAGCTGCTGCAAGCGCATGTGCTTGCATGTGTGGACGTGCCCTTTGAGGCTAGATTCAGCCTTGGTATAACTCCATTCCAGTTAAACCAGTATTGACTGTGACTTCCTCCTATAAAACAAATTTAGATGATAGAAATGTGAGGGTTAGTGATGGGATAAATAGTTGTGCCTAGTGCTTCTGAGTTGAACCTTTATGGTCACAAGGTAGAAGCTAAGATATTGTAAGAGACTGTGGCACAACTGATGTGAAACTGAACTGATCTCTAAAAATGTGTTCAGTAAAGACAGGGAAATGCGCTATCAGTGCTCTATGTGCAGCTTATGTCCTCTTAGAACTCTTCCCATGCTGATGGACTGTTGTGATTTGAGCTCAAAACAACTTTCTCCATTTGTTTGCTTTCCAGCTTATCAAAACATCAGATTTGGATCCAAGCCATAACTATCTGTTTGGATTTCACCCCCATGGTGTCCTTGTTGCTGGAGCCTTTGGAAACTTTTGTACAGAATATTCAGGTTTTAAGGAGTTATTCCCTGGCCTTACTCCATATCTTCACATCTTGCCCTTCTGGTTCAGATGTCCCTTCTTCAGAGAATACATAATGTCTGCTGGTAGGTAAATAATATATGGTTTCACATACAACTCATTTTAAGCAGAAGCTGTATCCAGTGAGTATAATGCATAGTGATGTAAGGTACGGGCTCTCATCCTGTAACTCATGAAGCTGAATTCTGATGTCAAGCTGCAATAGGATCAGAGCTGGCCTGAAAACAAATCTCTTATAGTGAACTCTGGCTCTGAAGCCACTTGGAAGGATTAGTTAACCTCTCCTAGGGAACTCCAATATAGGGACTCTCGGAATGACCTATCATGGTACATTCCTGCATTATTCCAGTGCATCAAGGTATGAGAGTCCTAAGTCTGCTCGTGCATTACAAAATGCCAGGACAGTCTGACCACAGACTTGGAAGCCCAGCTTCTTCAGCAGCTGGTTTGACAGGGTCCTTAGAGTAGCTGAGTAGACAAGACAGCAGGAAATACCACCCCTGTGCAAGAGATTCCCTTTTTGCAGGAGCGTCAGTCTGTGAAACACTTATAAGCATGTGTGGTTTTTTTGTTTTTGTTTGGTTTTTTTCTCCCTTCCTCCCCCCCCCCCCCCAAAAAAAAAACAACAACAAACCAACAAGTTTTGCCTGAATCTTCCTGACCAGCTGTAATATTTATTCCCCCTCAATGCTCCTGCTTCTTAACCCTGTTCATAGATGGGAAACTGATGTGCATGGAGACTAAGGGCCAGATCCAACAAGAGAGTAAGGAAATGAGAGTTCTGTTCCTGACTGTGCCACTGACTCCGTGTAACTTTGGGATTGTCACTTAGGTGACAGTTTGGTCTGGCCATAATTGTACCAGTGGAAACTACTTAATAAGGACTTAAACATATTTACTATAGCAAAGACCAGATTCATCTCCCAGATGAAACTACTAGCCTCTAGAGTCATGCTGTTTATGGTTCAATAAATCTCGAATTCTTTTTTTCCACAGTGAAATGGCTTCCACTAGAGAGGTGGTTAGTATGCCCCTCCAGTCAGTATAGTCCAGGGGTTGGCAATTATTTGGGCTGGAGGGCTATTGAATGAGTTTTGATGAGCATTTTATGGCTGTGGTGCAGGGCTCAGCCCTACTTCCTCAGGCTCCTGACAGCAGCCAGCAGGCCAGATAAGATCAGTAGGCGGGCTGGGTATGGCCCCTAGGGCTATATTTTGCTCATCCCTGGTATAGCTTATAGCTCAATAGTTGGACTACTTTCCATTTAAAGATGGGAGATCAGGGTTTGAATTGCCTCTGGTAGAATTCCCAGCTCTGCCACTTCCTGGTGATTTTTTTTTTTTTTGTTTAACTCTATACCTGTTGTATAAAAGAAGGTTGCTATCTTTCAGCTGGATTTTAAACGAAAACAATGCCCCCTGAACTCCCCCCACCCCCGCACCACCCTCTGTACTTAATTTTTTGTGCTAGATGTGTTCTGAGAGTGCCTTCTGGTTTCAACCTCTTGGCAGAGCTATTCTAGGGTTTGTATTTCTATATCCTGATTGGGCTTAGGTGTGAGCTAGGTGTTGGGATGCTCAGCCCTGTTAAGACCAGGGCCTTTCTGGCCATTCACAGAAGTGGCATTTTGGGCACCTTGGAAACTTTAAGGTGAAAAAAAAATAAGGCACCTGTATAGTTCAGGTGCTTTTACGTTTAGATACCAGCCAGTAGGGGTTTCTCATGTTGCATTTAAGTATCCAAATTCCATTTAAATCCCCCCCACCCTGTTTTGGGGGGGGGGGGGGTTTGAAGATGCCGGTCCTTAGTGATGTTCCCAAGGTCACATGGAAAGTCTGTAATAGTCCAAGTATTTGAACCCAAGTCCTGTACTAGGATTCTAACCATTTGACCATAATTCCTCTCTGAAAGTTACCTGTAGTCCCCATGCCTACTCATGTGCTATCTTTCTATGAGCTGGCTCCAATCCTTTACCAGTTGAATGGGAATAATAAGGGTTGGATGAGTGGAATGGAGTACACTATTACTTAAACACTGGCATTTCAAGAGCAAACTAAGCAACTTGGTACAAACATCTTTCTACTGAAGACACTGCTTGCTTACCTCTGGGTAAAAGGCTTCCCCCTTTCTTCCCCCCACAAGCTCTATGCAATTATATTATACTTTATGAGCCCATTCCCCAGACAGCTTACCTTTTTTGGTCAGTGTTTGTACAGCATCTGGCACCATGGGGTCCTGACCCATAGTTAACATTCTTATATTGTACTGCAAAGCAAGTAAATACATATTAGACATGAAAGGATGTGCAACAACAGCA